GACACAGACAGTAGTGGGGATGGGACATGTGCTGGGGGGAGGGGGGTGGCCAGGGAGAGGTCAATGGGGGAAAAAAGGACAGATAGGTAATATTTTCAACAATAAAGAATTTAAATTTAAAAAATGTAGATATAGCCCTAGCCAGTTTGGCTCAGTGGATAGAGCATCGGCCTGCGGACTGAAGGGTCCCAGGTTCGATTCCAGCCAAGGGCACATGCCTGGGTTGCAGGCTCAATCCCCAGTAGGGGGCATGCAGGAGGCAGCCAATCAATGATTCTCTCTCATCATTGATGTTTCTATCTCTCTCTCCCTCTTCCTTCCTCTCTGAAATCAATAAAGAAATATATTTTTTTTAAAAAAAGTAGATATAGAGAACAGATTGGTGGTTGCCAGAGGCAGGGTTTGAGGGCAGACAAAAGGTACAAACTTCTAGCATAAGATAAATAATTTCTGTGGAGTAATGTACAGCACAGTGACTATCTATATAAAAGCCTAAGCTACTGGCCAATCGGCCAACCGGCCAATAGCTATGACGCACACTGACCACCAGGGGGCAGACACTCAATGCAGGAGCCACCAAGCTGCGGTGACTTGGCAGCTGTGGTTCTCAGGTGACACATCCGAAACCAGAAAGGATGGAGCCCAATTCCAGGGTGCATCACCCGAGAACCACCCTCACACAATCTGGGACCCCTCGGAAGATGTCGGAGAGCTGGTTTCGGCCCGATCCCCTCAGGCCAGGCCAAAGGACCCCACCGATGCATGAATCTGTGCACTCGACCTCTAGTTATTAATAATACTGTAACTGTATATTTGAAAGTTGCTGCGACAATAAATCTTAAAAGTTATCACAAAGAAAAAAATGTAACTATATGAAATGATGCATGTTAACTGAACTTATTGAGGTGATGATTTTGCAATATAAACATATCAAATCATTATGTTGTACAATTTAAACTAACACAGTGTAGATTATATCTCAATGAAATTGGGGGAAAATAATCTACTAGAGAATGAACTTTAAATACCAATACAGGACTAGTGATAAGCATAAAACAGATACTTACAGAAGACTAAATGGTGGCTATTAGGAAGAAAGTATAATATGTAATTGCTATATTCTCTGATAGTTTAAAATTCATACGGTTTCCACTTGTCTTCTGTGTCTATTATTGGTTATAGTGTTGTTACTGTTCTCAAATAGCTTGGTACATAATGTTAGATAAAACAACTGAGTGGTTATTACATGATATTCCAAAATGTTATCATTCATGATATCCTTGAGAATATGACCCTTACTGTGTAAGAAAGGACATAAAGATTTTAGATAAAAGAATTAAGTAAAACCCAAAAGACATAAATAACAGTATGAATTCATGAGATGGTTTTTTTCTTTTACAATTATACTTATTTCCAAAACTCTGTCCACTAGATTCCTAGAGAGAATGCCTTAGCATTAATGAGCACAATGAAGGTCAGAAAGTGCTCTTGAAATACTTTTTCTAACTGAAAGAAATCAAAGACCCCTGGAGAAATATAGGGGAAAGGTCTATGTAAAATCCTCTTGTATCGGAAAGCAGAGTAACTTCAGGAACGTGAACAGGCTCCAAATGGTCAAAGATAGGAAATTGTGAGCATCAATAAAGATTACATCAGAAATGGATTGAAATATATCAAATGCATAAATTCCAAATAACACTTTAAAAAAACTAATTGGTTACCATTAGAGGATACAAGGTTGAAAACTGGTACATAAAGGAAAAGAATCAGTTACTCTACTTTTCCAATATGAACCAAATAGTAAGTAATAGAAAGTTTATGTCCTAAGTAGAAGTATTCCAGTTAAAAAAAAAAAAAAAAGGAAGTATAAAATTTAGACTATCATTGTTTTGCAATCCTTAATTAACAGGTTCTAGCTAGCTGCTTTGTATCAAAGCTACTAACCTCACATATGAGAAACAACAGGCATTATGGCCTCCTGAGAGGAAAACAGAGTTCCACCTATGAAGCAGACACTTCCCACCCCCAATTCTATAGATAAATATTAACTTCCATGAAATTCAGAGGAATGAAAAAAAGGTTCAAGTCCACCACAGGGATGCAATCAGCAGAAGTCAGACTATAGGAAACCACATAGCAAATGAACCGGTATCTTCAATAAATAAATTGGAAAAGAAAACAATAACAACAAAAAAGATGAGTAAGAAACTTATAGATCAAAAGTGACTTAAAAGGCATACCAAACCAAAACAAGAACTAAAACACTATACATAAGTAAACTACATTGTTTCAGGTGTGCCAGGCTTCCAAATATTATGAAGAGCCATGACCCCAAAGCCTAAAACTTTTAATGCATCATTTTAAAGTTATGTAGCTTTTATTTTTATAATGGAGTCACTCACTAATCATAATACAGAATGAAACATAATGACTACATATGCATTCTATTACTCTACTACAGCCTTCAGTAATTTAAGGTATTTGTAAAGATTAAGATACCTGTATGTTCAGAATTGGCTGTAAATAAGCAGAGCAACTTGATTTAAAATTAGTCTAATGCTGGAAAAGTACGTAAATGTAGAATACAGAACAGGAATATTAGGCTTTAAAGCAAAGGACCTGACTTCTTGTCATGGTCCAATGTTTCTTCCTAACTTACCTTGGCAAGTATAATGATAATGAGCAAGCCAAGGCATTAGGCTAGGCCAGTGGTCAGCAAACTGCGGCTTGGCAAACCGCAGCTCACGAGCCACATGCAGCCCTCTGGCCCCTTGAGTGTGGCTCTTCCACAAAATACCGGCTCTTCCACAAAATACCGACTTCTGCGCATGGGCCACGAAGTTTTAATCACACTGTACGTGTGTGCCCGCACGTGGTATTTTGTGGAAGAGCCACACTCAAGGGGCCAAAGAGCCACATGTGGCTTGCGAGCCGCAGTTTGCTGACCACGGGGCTAGGCCATTAGCTAGATAGCTCCTTCCTGGGGCTGATGGTCTTGTGGGGAGGTAATTACACATGTGACTAATGTTCTAAAAAAAAAATGTACAGCATGCTATGAAGCGTGTCCCCCTAATAAAAAGGAAAATAGCATACTCTCAGATGAGATGAAGCAGATAAAAGCACTGGGAACCACTCTTAAACACTTACCCTCTAGCTTACTTAAGTTTTTTTCACCTTTGGATAAATCTAATAAAACAATGACTATTTGGTAGGTAAATTAATTTATTCATATTTATCTTAAGATCTATGGACCTTAAAACATGAAGAAAAATAAGCCTTGGCATCCCTAAGGCTGTACCGATGAAGAAAGGAGCAAAGAAAATGTTTATCAACAATCCATAATGCAAAATAAGAAGAGGTGTACAATTCTGTTAACAACCTCTGTATATTTTATTATAATTTAACATATGTACGTACATATGTATGTACACACAGATGTTATGACCATCCAAAGACACCTGCATCCACTTCTGTAGGATTAATTCTCTGGCTCCCAGATCAGCAGGTTGGTACAGCCTAATAGCAATCTTGAAGGCCAAACTGTGTACATTTCACACTGGGAGATTCCCACAGATTCCTAGAGACTGTCCTTTTAAAGCTTTTAGAGAAAGATGCCATGGTTTAGAAAGAATAGCCTGAAAAATTAGTTCAGTCAGCCTTAAATGACTTTAATTTAAAAAATTAAATCCAAAGAATCGTGTTTCATTTCTACTTTCTATAAATAATTTTGATATACATAAACTACATGTTTTTTTAAATAAAAAATTCCCAATCATGGGAAAATACTTTCGGCTTTTAATTCTTTGAGATGTTTTAAAAAATGTTTTTATACCAATATTATTTCACTGTAAGTTGCATTTAGTTACCATGCCTCAAATTAGTTGCTTTATTTAAAAACATAAAGTAATTTAAATTTAATTATTATATGCTACTTATTTTATTTTTATTTTCCATATAGGTGTTACATACCTTTTTTCTTCCATTAGCCTATAGGAGCTAGGACTGTACATAGGAAACTTTAAAATATTCAAAGAGTAAATACAGATTGAGAACAATATATAACATCCCTTTTACCTTCTCCTGTTGCTTCTCTCTTAGCCAACCTTTATAATCTTCTCCACCAGAATACAGGTAAGGGACAAAAATATATGGTACTCACTTTTGTTGCTTATTAATAAAGGCCAACATAAGTATTCAATTATGTGAGCTTTTATATAAATCATGTTTTCCGTTTTTTACAGATAACATCTAAAAATGTGTGGGAGGAATAAGTACAAAGAAATTCTAACTTACCAAAAAAATATTTAAACATTAAAAAAAAATTTAGCTTTGTTCCTTAAAAAATACCCAGGAAAATAAATATATAATAAAATCAAGTTCTATTTGAAGACTCCCTTATAATTAATATTTAACATGAAAATTGAATATTCATAAAGCAGTCTGATTTTTTCTATACTGAATCTTGGTCTATCAAGATAAATAATAGCATTGGAAACTAGAGGGAAAAATAACTTTCTCTTAACTACGATTTATTTACTATATTTTAAAACTATAGAATAATATTGTTAAACATTAGAATAAAATTATTAAACATTCTTGGTTAGCGGGCTATGAACTAAAAGGATGTTTACTGTAGGTACCATGTTTATCCTATATTAAAATCAATAATAAACAGTAGTTTTTAGATAGTTTAAATAAAAGTGATTAATTAAAAGCCTTTTTAACAAAAAACATATAAAGACCTGTTTCAAGAGTTAAATTTTTGTTAACTGAAGTACTATTACAAATAGTACATAATAACATTTATTTATAAAACCTCTAAACACAAGTTGCTTGTGTATGTTTCTGCATTTTTCTAACATCTATATACTCCTGCAAGGCAAAAAGTGACTAGTACTTTGTAATATATGTTATCATAATAAATAAGTTATTTTTGGACCTTTTATCCCAAAGTCTTATATGATATTTTACAGAGATATTATTTGTTCAAATTTACTTACTTTGTAATACGGTCAATGTTGGCAATTTGCTTCTGGTTCCGTATAATCTCAATGGCTGCCCAAAGATGCTGGATAGCTTTTGTATCCGCCTGTCGTCTTTTTGTTAAACGTGCCATGACCTGTTAACTGCTTTAGCTGTAGGAATATACAAAAATATAAGGACAAAAAGCATGGATTACAAAATGAATTATAATTAACACTATCAGCACCTCTTGAATACTGCTGAGTACACTAACATAGTATGTAACATGACCAATTTTTTATTTTCTACAATACACATCACCAATTACTTTCATAAAAATATCATTCAGTTCATTACTTCATAAAGAACGACATTTTAAGACCCAAAAGTTAAAAAACAGCATCCTAATGACAAATGGTCACCTTATTCCAATAGATCAAAAAATATATATTTAAGTTTTATTTTAAAATAAAAATATTACAACATAAAATTTCATTTTTTAAAAAAAATATATTTTATTGATTTTTTACAGAAAGGAAGGGAGAGGGATAGAAAGTTAGAAACATCGATGAGCGAGAAACATCGATCAGCTGCCTCCTGCACGCCCCCTACTGGGGATGTGCCTGCAGCCAAGGTACATGCCCTTGACCGGAATCAAATCTGGGACCCTTGAGTCCGCAGGCCGACGCTCTATCCACTGAGCCAAACCGGTTAGGGCTAAAATTTCATTTTTGATATTACATTGTGCCTCATCTTACAGAGTGATACAAAATGAAATTTAAATGCCCTAGTTCTGTGGTTCTTCAGTTTATTATACTCATGGTTTAAATTTCAATTTTATATAGTCTTATTGATAAATGAAAACAACATTCTCTTTCTTTAAAGTAAAACCATAAACAGAGAATATAAGGTAGTTATTTCTGGCTGAGGTGTGAAAGGCTGGGGCAGATACACAAATGTCGGATTAGTGTTGGTTGTTTATTACATTATTTGAAAACAACATTGCTATTTTATTCAAATTTCAGTATTCTGAGTGAACTAAGGAAAATGGCCACTAATGTATCCTGGCAAGATGGGGGGGTTGCAGCCTAAATGCCTGTGCTATTACCACAGAAAGAGGCATCCCTGGACTCTCACCAGGGCATGAAGGGACCTGTTTATCTTTGCTTTTAAGAGATGATTGGCTGTTTAAAGCAAAGATAAAAATAATTGTTATGATTAGATTTATAACATACGTAGACATAAAATAGGTTACAATACCACCACAAACGGGGAAGAGGCAGTAATAATTACCATCATGTAAACTCTTACACTTTATGTGAAGTGGTTTTATAGTAATTCAAGGGGGACTATGGTAAATTGAGGATGCATATTATAATCCCTAGAGGAAGCACTGAAGAATACAAATAGGAACAGTTAACATTAATTCAACTTATAAAATGTTTTTTCAAAATATGTGCAAAATTAAGGATAACTTATTCAAAACTACAGAAAATATATAACAGCAAAGTTAACATTGAAAAAATAGTACCTAAATAAATAATTTTATATAACATAATCTAACAACTAGAAGAATACAATGAGGGAAAGTAGCAGAAACCCTAAAAGTTATGTCAATTCTTACAAATGGTTAAAATCAAGACTAAAGAATTAAGCAATTCCAAGCTTCAGAAAAACAGATGTAAAGTTAAAACCAAAGAATTCTGGGATCTACCTGAACCAACTCACACAGGTGAATACATATGCCCTGTTAATGAAGGTACACCACCATAAGGAAGATGCTCATAGTTATAGGAGCCCAAAGAGAACATTGCAAAGAATGCAACCCAAGTAAGGTGAAAACAATAATGCCTAAACCATATAATAGTACCAAAAACAATATGATCTAGTAGAGCAAGGTCTCTTTAACATACAATTGCTAAAATTCTCCCTTCTTAATGAAATCTAAAATCATTCATTCACTCAACTCTTCTGTATGCTCTGGAAATATAGCAATAGCAAAACAGACAAATCTTTCTATCATAAATAAATATAATTTGAAATTCAGGCGTTCATCAATAAAAAGAAAATCTCAGAAAATGAGTTTCGTATATCCTATGTACATAGTTTGTCATTTTAAGTCTTCATTAATGTGGCAAACCAAACTTTTCAGTCCATCTTTCCTAAATGTGTATTACATTACTACGAAACTGAATCCTCAAAATGCCTAAATATGTCCAAAAACTTCACACCTTTATCCCTTTGTTGAATAGTTCTCTCTGCCTAGAATGTTTTCCCCTGCCCCTTTACTAATTATTAAAATTTTCCTTCTTTTTAGAAGTTACTCTAAAGCAATTGTTCCTGACCAACAAACTGAATCAAACTCAATTCTCTTGTGTATTATAGAGTAACTTGTTTATGCATCTCTTCAAATTTATTGCATTGTACAAAAATTATAAATTCCTCCCCAAAGAATCCATTAATTCAAGTAAGAAAGACTATATCCTGTTTATTTTTTCATCTGTTTTTAAAGGTGCCTAGCATAATTATAAACAGAATAAACTTTTAGTATGAAATTATGAAATTCAACTTTTCCAACTATGCTATACAAATAACAAAGTCCCTGAGTAAGCCTTCATTTAAGCTAGATCAAAGATTAAAACACCAAAAACAAAGATGAGAAGACTTGTAGAGGTATTTAATACAGTCCTCAACGACAGACTCCCCTCAGGGAGTTAAGGGTTTTAAGTTCCTTGTGTTATCTGAGAAGAAAATAATTTACACTAAACCTTGATACATCAAAAACACAATTTACTACCTCTAGAGCAACACTTTTTAACTGGTGTGCAACAAATTTTAAAACACTGAATACACTGACCTCTTTTCCCTTACATTGTCAAATGAAAACAGCCAATACTACAATAGCCATCTGGTATGAATCAATCAAAATTATACCTATTGTTTTTTGTCAAATAGGCAAAAAATAAAAAAAATTGGGGGGGGGGTGTTCTACAGAATTTTAGTAATTAGCTTATGTGTGTCATGAGATGAAAAAGATTGAAAATCACTGTTCTAGAGTAAACAATACATAAAAGAATACATAACGACCAAGCTACTAGCAGGGGTAAAAAGAGCTTTATCGACACCCTCCTACCACCAAAAAAGAAGAAATTGGAGCAAGATTAATAAAAGGACATTATAATATACTAGAGGCCCGGTGCAAAAAAATTTGTGCAGTGGGGGGTGGGGGGTCCTCAGCCCGGCCTGTGCCCTCTCGCAGTCTGGGACCCCTCGGGAGATGTCCACCTGCTGGCTTACGCCTGCTCCTCGGGGGATTGAGCCTAAGCTGGTAATCAGACATCCCTCTGGCAGCCCGGCAACCCTCGGGGGATGCCCACTTGCCAGCAGGGAGCAGACCTAAGCTGCAGTCAGGCATCCTTAGCGCTGCTGAGGAGGCAGGAGAGGCTCCCACCACCACCGCTGTACTGGCAGCCATCAGCCTGGCTTGTGGCTGAGCAGAGCTCCCCCATGTGGGAGCGCACTGACCACCAGAGGGCAGCTCCTGCATTGAGCATCTGCCCCCTGGTGGTCAGTGTGTGTCATAGTGACCAGTCATTCCCAGTCTTTCTGCTGTTAGGGTCAGTTTGCATATTACCCTTTTACTATATAGGATAGAGGCCTGGTGCACAGGTGGGGGCTGGCTGGTTTGCCCTGAAGGGTGTCCTGGATCAGGGTGGGGGTCCGGCTTGGGTGCCTGGCCAGTCTGGGTGAGGGACTGATGGCTGTTTGCAGCTGGTCACACCCCCTTCAGGGTGGGGGTCCCCACTGGGGTGCCTGGCAAGCCTGGATGAGGGGCTGATGGCTATTTTCAGGCTGCCCGCACCCCCTTTAGGGTGGGGGTCCCCACTGGGTGCCTGGCCAGTCTGGATGAGGGGCTGAGGGCTGTTTTCAGGCTGGCCAAGCCGGTGACTGAAGCTCCCAGCCTCTCCTTTTATTCTTTTTTTTTTTTTAATTCTTGGATTCATTTACCTTCTATAATTGAAACTTTGTTGCTTAGAGTGGAGCTCAGAGCCCGGCTGCAGCAGGGAGGAAGCTTGGCTTCCTCCATCGCTGGAGCAAGCAAGCCTCCTGCTCACTTCAGCTGCGTGGCTGCCGGCCACCATCTTGGTTGGGTTAATGTGCATATCCTGCTGATTAGCCAATGGGAAGCGTAGCAAAGGTATGGTCAATTACCATGTTTGTCTATTATTAGATGGTGATAGAAATAAACCCAAATATATCAGTAATTACATTAAATCCAAAATATAATTTCAATAAAAGACAGCAATTTTGTGCCTGAATTAAACACAATTAAACAAAACCCAGCTACATACTGCTTGCAAAAGATACCATTTTAAAAAATATATTTTTTATTTATTTCAGAGAGGAAGGGAGAGGGGGAGATAGAAACATCAATGATGAGAGAGAATCATTGATCAGCTGCCTCCTGCATGCCCCCTAATGGGGATCGAGCCTGTAACCAGGGCATATGCCCTTGACCGGAATCTATCCCAGGACCTTTCAGTCCGCAGGCCAATGCTCTATCCACTGAACCAAACCAGCTAGGGCCAAAAGACACATCTTCAATGTAAAGGACACAAAAAGTCTGTGAAGAAAAAGGTAAAAAACAGTACCATGCAAAAATTATCAAAAAGAAAGCTGGCAAAAGTACAGTAATATAAAATCTTACTAAGGGAAAAAAAAGGGTCATATCACAGCAATAAAAAGATCCAACTAATTAGGAAATATTCTAAAATTTATGTACTTAACATAATCTCAAAACATAAAAATTAACAAATTTGAAAGGAAAAATAGACAAATCCAGTCATAGTAGGAGATTTAATATTGCTTTCAATAACTGATAAGACAAGGAGAAAAATTACTAGGTATACAGAAGTTTTACAAAAGCTTTTAATAACCTTGTCCTGATATATGTAAATCTCTGTAGCCAATAAGTGCAGAATGCACATTCTTTTCAAATGCACATGTTATGTTTACACAGTGATCACATAGTGAGTGTCAACAAATTTCAAAGGGTTAAAATTATATAGTCTGCTCTCTCTCTCTCCACAATAGAACCGAAGAAGAAATCAGTAACAAAAGATAACCAAAAACAATTCCTGCGGTTTTGGAAGCATATGTATTTTTTACTTCTA